GAGCAGCACTACAGAAACGAGCAGCACCACAGGGTCCACCACTACCGAGTCGAGCAGTACCACGGGGTCCACCACCACAGAGTCGAGCACGACGTCGCGGACCAGCACCACAGGAACGAGCAGTACCACGGTGTCCACCACCAGTGAATCGAGCACCACGTCGCGGACCAGCACTACCGAAACCAGCAGCACAACGGTGTCAACCACGTCGGAGTCGAGCAGCACGTCGCGCACCAGCACTGTCCACCACCAGTGAATCGAGCACCACGTCGCGGACCAGCACTACCGAAACCAGCAGCACAACGGTGTCAACCACGTCGGAGTCGAGCAGCACGTCTCGGACCAGCACAACGGGGACCAGCAGTACCACGATGTCCACCACCTCGGAGTCTAGCAGCACGTCGCGGACCAGCACAACGGGGACCAGCAGCACCACTGGTTCCACCACGACGGAGTCGAGCACCACGTCGCAGACCAGCACTACGGCATCGAGCAGTACCACTGTGTCCACCACTACTGAGTCGAGCAGTACCACGGGGTCCACCACCACAGAGTCGAGCACGACGTCGCGGACCAGCACCACAGGAACGAGCAGTACGACGGGCTCCACCACGACAGAATCGAGCACCACGTCGCGGACCAGCACTACAGAAACGAGTAGCACCACGGGGTCCACCACTACAGAGTCTAGCACGACGTCGCGGACCAGCACAACGGGGACCAGCAGCACCACGGTGTCCACCACCTCGGAGTCTAGCAGCACGTCGCGGACCAGCACAACGGGGACCAGCAGCACCACTGGTTCCACCACGACGGAGTCGAGCACCACGTCGCAGACCAGCACTACGGCATCGAGCAGTACCACTGTGTCCACCACTACTGAGTCGAGCAGTACCACGGGGTCTACCACGACGGAATCGAGCACGACGTCGCGGACCAGCACCACAGGAACGAGCAGTACGACGGGCTCCACCACGACACAATCGAGCACCACGTCGCGGACCAGCACTACAGAAACGAGTAGCACCACGGGGTCCACCACCACAGAGTCTAGCACGACGTCGCGGACCAGCACCACAGAAACGAGCAGTACCACGAGGTCTTCCACAACGGGATCGAGCACAACGTCACGGACCAGCACTACGGAAACGAGCACCACCACCGCGACCACCACGACGGAGTCTAGCACGACGTCCCGGACAAGCACTACGGGCACAAGCAGTACTCGGACAAGCAAAACAGATACGAGCAGCTCCACGAGGTCTTCTACTACGGAGACGAGCACCACGTCGCGGAGCAGCACGACAGGAACGAGCAGCACCACAGGGTCCACCACCACTGAGTCGAGCAGTACCACGGCGTCCACCACCAGTGAATCAAGCACCACGTCCCGGACCAGTACTACCGGAACCAGCACCACCACGGTGTCCACTACTTCGGAATCTAGCAGCACGTCGCGGACCAGCACAACGCGGACCAGCAGTACCACGGTGTCCACCACGACGGAGTCAAGTACCACGTCGCGGACTAGCACTACGGGGACCAGCAGCACCTCGGTGTCCACCACGACGGAGTCGAGCACCACCTCGCAGACCAGCACTACGGCATCGAGCAGTACCACGGGGTCCACCACGACGGAGTCGAGCAGCACCACGGCGTCCACCACCACGGGTTCGAGCACGACTTCGCGGACCAGCACCACGGAAACGAGCAGCACAACGGGGTCCACCACGACGGCGTCGAGCACGACGTCCAGGACCAGCACTACCAGATCGAGCACTACCACGGAGTCCACCACCAGTGAATCAAGCACCACGTCGCGGACCAGCACTACCGAAACCAGCAGCACCACGGTGTCCACCACGTCGGAGTCTAGCAGCACGTCGCGGACTAGCACAACGGGGTCCAGCAGTACCACGGTGTCCACCACGACGGAGTCGAGCACGACGTCGCGGACCAGCACCACTAGGACCAGCAGTACCACGGTGTCCACCACGACGGAGTCGAGTACCACGTCGCGGACCAGCACAACGGGGACCAGCAGCACCACTGCGTCCACCACGACGGAGTCGAGTACCACGTCGCGGACCAGCACTACTGAGTCGAGCAGTACCACGGGGTCCACCACCACGGAAACGAGCAGTACCACGGGCTCCACCACGACGGAGACGAGCACGACTTCGCGAACCAGCACCACGGACACTAGCACCACCACGGTGTCCACTACGACACAGTCGAGTACCACGTCGCGGACCAGCACAACGGGGACCAGCAGTACCACGGTGTCTACCACGACGGAGTCGAGTACCACGTCGCGGACCAGCACCACTGGGACCAGCAGCACCTCGGTGACCACCACGACGGAGTCTAGTACCACGTCGCGAACCAGCACAACGGGCACCAGCACTACCACTGTGTCCACCACGACGGAGTCGAGTACCACGTCGCGGACCAGCACTACCGAGTCGAGTAGTACCTCGGGGTCCACCACCACGGAAACGAGCAGTACCACGGGTTCCACCACGACGGAGTCGAGCACCACCTCACGGACCAGCACTACAGAAACGAGCAGTAGCACAGTTTCCACCACGACGGAATCGAGCACGACGTCTCGAACCAGCACCACTGAAACGAGCACCACGACGGTGTCCACCACGACGGAGTCGAGTACCACGTCGCGGACCAGCACAACGGGGACCAGCAGTACCACGGTTTCTACCACGACAGAGTCGAGCACGACGTCGCGGACCAGCACCACTGGGACCAGCAGTACCACGGTGTCCACCGGCCGGTGTCGAACCAGCAGCTTCGTCGCGCACCAGCGCAACGCGGGACCAGCAGCCCACGGGGTCACCACGTCGGAGTCGAGTACCACGTCGCGGACCAGCACAACGGGGACCAGCAGTACCACGGTGTCTACCACGACGGAGTCGAGCAGCACCACGGCGTCCACCACCACGGGTTCGAGCACGACTTCGCGGACCAGCACCACGGAAACGAGCAGCACAACGGGGTCCACTACGACGGCGTCGAGCACGACGTCGCGGACAAGCACAACCGAAACCAGCACTACCACGGAGTCTAGTACCACGTCGCGAACCAGCACAACGGGCACCAGCAGTACCACGGTGTCCACCACGACGGAGTCGAGTACCACGTCGCGGACCAGCACTACCGAGTCGAGTAGTACCTCGGGGTCCACCACCACGGAAACGAGCACTACCACGGGTTCCACCACGACGGAGTCGAGCACCACCTTTTTTTTTTGTTTTTTTTTTCTTTTTTTTTCTTCACGGACAAGCATTACAGGAACGAGCAGTGCACAGTTTCCACACCGACGGAACTCCGAGCGGGACGTCTTCGAACCTAGGCACCAGTGGAACGAGCACACCCGGTGTCACCACGACGGCGTCGAGTACCACGTCGCGGACCAGCACAACGGGGACCAGCAGTACCACGGTTTCTACCACGACAGAGTCGAGCACGACGTCGCGGACCAGCACCACTAGGACCAGCAGTACCACGGTGTCCACCACGACGGAGTCCAGCAGCACGTCGCGCACCAGCACAACGGGGACCAGCAGCACCACGGGGTCCACCACGACGGAGTCGAGTACCACGTCGCGGACCAGCACAACGGGGACCAGCAGTACCACGGTGTCTACCACGACGGAGTCGAGCAGCACCACGGCGTCCACCACCACGGGTTCGAGCACGACTTCGCGGACCAGCACCACGGAAACGAGCAGCACAACGGGGTCCACTACGACGGCGTCGAGCACGACGTCGCGGACCAGCATTACCGAAACCAGCACTACCACGGAGTCTAGTACCACGTCGCGAACCAGCACAACGGGCACCAGCAGTACCACGGTGTCCACCACGACGGAGTCGAGTACCACGTCGCGGACCAGCACTACCGAGTCGAGTAGTACCTCGGGGTCCACCACCACGGAAACGAGCAGTACCACGGGTTCCACCACGACGGAGTCGAGCACCACCTCACGGACCAGCACTACAGAAACGAGCAGTAGCACAGTTTCCACCACGACGGAATCGAGCACGACGTCTCGAACCAGCACCACTGAAACGAGCACCACCACGGTGTCCACCACGACGGAGTCGAGTACCACGTCGCGGACCAGCACAACGGGGACCAGCAGTACCACGGTTTCTACCACGACAGAGTCGAGCACGACGTCGCTGACCAGCACCACTGGGACCAGCAGTATCACGGTGTCCACCACGACGGAGTCTAGCAGCACGTCGCGCACCAGCACAACGGGGACCAGCAGCACCACGGGGTCCACCACGACGGAGTCGAGTACCACGTCGTGGACCAGCACAACGGAAACGAGCAGCACCACAGGGTCCACCACTACCGAGTCGAGCAGTACCACGGCATCTACCACCACGGGTTCGAGCACGACTTCGCGGACCAGCACCACGGAAACGAGCAGCACAACGGGGTCCACCACGACGGCGTCGAGCACGACGTCGCGGACCAGCTCAACGGGGACAAGCAGTACCACGGTGTCCACCACCTCAGAGTCGAGCACCACTTCGCGGACCAGCACCACAGGATCGAGCAGTACCACTGTGTCTACCACAACGAAGTCGAGTACCACGTCCACCACGACCCAGACCACTACCACGGAGTCGAGCAGTACTACAGGGTCCACCACTTCGGAGTCGAGCACGACGTCCCAAACCAGCCCTACGCAAACGAGCACCACCACCACAACGGTGTCGAGCACGTCGACGTTGACCAGCACGTCGCAAACAAGCAGTACCACGGTGACCACCAAAACGGATTCGAGCACGACGACGTTGTCCAGCACAACGCAAACGATCACAACCACGATGACCAGTTCCACACAGACGAGTAGCATGACAAGCACTACCGTCACCAGTACCACAACATTGACCAGCACCTCGGCGTCAAGCAGCATGTCCTTGACTAGCACCACGCTGTCTAGCAGTACTGGGTCGAGCAGCACATGGTCAAGCAGCACAACACTGACCAGCACCACCGAGACTAGCAAGACGGCCACGAGCACCAGTGAGTCGAGCAGCACGACGTTGAGCAGCATAACTGACTCGAGCACGACAGTGTCGAGCAGCACGTCGTTGACCAGCACATCCGAGACCAGCTCGACGGCCTCGAGCACCACTGAGTCGAGCAGCACGACGTTGACCAGCACAAGCGGCTCGAGCACCACTGAGTCGAGCACCATCACATTGACAAGCACCAGTGGGTCGAGCAGCACGACGTTGACCAGCACAACCGCGTCTAGCACCACCACGCTGACGAGCACTACAGACACAAGCAGCACGACGAGAAGTAGCACGACAAGCACTACCGGCACCAGTAGCACAACATTGAGCAGCACCTCGGCGTCAAGCAGCACAACGTTGAGCAGCACCACGGTATCAAGCAGCACCGGGTCGAGCACCACGTCGTTGACCAGCACCACCGAGACAAGCGCGACGGCGACAAGCACCAGTGAGTCGAGCAGCACGACATTGACTAGCACAACTGGGTCCAGCACCACAGAGTCAAGCACCATAACATTGACCAGCACCACCGAGACTAGCCAGACGGCCACAAGCACCAGTGAGTCGAGCAGCACGACGTTGACCAGCACAACCGCGTCTAGCACCACCACGCTGACGAGCACTACAGACACAAGCAGCACGACGAGAAGTAGCACGACAAGCACTACCGGCACCAGTAGCACAACATTGAGCAGCACTTCGGCGTCAAGCAGCACAACGTTGAGCAGCACCACGGTATCTAGCAGCACTGGGTCGAGCACCTCGTCGCTGACCAGCACCACCGAGACAAGCAGCTCGGCGACAAGCACCAGTAAGTCGAGCAGCACGACATTGACTAGCACAACTGGGTCCAGCACCACAGAGTCAAGCACCATAACATTGACCAGCACCACCGAGACTAGCCAGACGGCCACAAGCACCAGTGAGTCGAGCAGCACGACGTTGACCAGCACAACCGCGTCTAGCACCACCACGCTGACGAGCACTACAGACACAAGCAGTACGACGAGAAGTAGCACGACAAGCACTACCGGCACCAGTAGCACAACATTGAGCAGCACCTCGGCGTCAAGCAGCACAACGCTGAGCAGCACCACGGTATCTAGCAGCACTGGATCAAGCACAACGTCGTTGACCAGCACCACCGAGACAAGCGCGACGGCGACAAGCACCAGCGAGTCGAGCAGCACGACATTGACCAGCACAACTGGCTCCAGCACGACAAGGTCGAGCACCATAACATTGACCAGCACCACCGAGACCAGCAAGACGGCCACGAGCACCAGTGAGTCGAGCAGCACGACGTTGACCAGCACAACTGGCTCCAGCACGACAGTTTCGAGCAGCACGTCGTTGACCAGCACATCCGAGACCAGCTCGACGGCCTCGAGCACCACTGAGTCGAGCAGCACGACGTTGACCAGCACAAGCGGCTCGAGCACCACTGAGTCGAGCACCATCACATTGACAAGCACCAGTGAGTCGAGCAGCACGACGTTGACCAGCACAACCGCGTCTAGCACCACCACGCTGACGAGCACTACAGACACAAGCAGCACGACGAGAAGCAGCACGACAAGCACTACCGGCACCAGTATCACAACATTGAGCAGCACCTCGGCGTCAAGCAGCACAACGCTGAGCAGCACCACGGTATCTAGCAGCACTGGGTCGAGCACCTCGTCGTTGACCAGCACCACCGAGACAAGCAGCACGGCGACAAGCACCAGTGAGTCGAGCAGCACGACATTGACTAGCACAACCGGCTCGAGCACGACAGTTTCGAGCAGCACGTCGTTGACCAGCACATCCGAGACCAGCTCGACGGCCACGAGCACCACTGAGTCGAGCAGCACGACGTTGACCAGCACAAGCGGCTCGAGCACCACTGAGTCGAGCACCATCACATTGACAAGCACCAGTGAGTCGAGCAGCACGACGTTGACCAGCACAACCGCGTCTAGCACCACCACGCTGACGAGCACTACAGATACAAGCAGTACGACGAGAAGTAGCACGACAAGCACTACTGGCACCAGTAGCACAACATTGAGCAGCACCTCGGCGTCAAGCAGCACAACGCTGAGCAGCACCACGGTATCTAGCAGCACTGGGTCGAGCACCTCGTCGTTGACCAGCACCACCGAGACAAGCAGCACGGCGACAAGCACCAGTGAGTCGAGCAGCACGACCTTGACGAGCACAACCGGCTCGAGCACGACAATTTCGAGCAGCACGTCGTTGACCAGCACATCCGAGACCAGCTCGACGGCCACGAGCACCACTGAGTCGAGCAGCACGACGTTGACCAGCACAAGCGGCTCGAGCACCACTGAGTCGAGCACCATCACATTGACAGCCCCAGTGAGTCGAGCAGCACGACGTTTGACCAGCACAGATTTCCTGGGTGGCACCACCACGCTGACGAGCACTACAGAACAAGCCAGCCGGACGGAAGCAGCATACTTCGATGACAAGCACCACCGAGACAAGTTAGCAGCAAATGTCGCCCGCAGTACTTTCGCTGTCCAGCACCAGCGAGTACAAGCAGGCGGGACGGAGACCGTAGCACCACCGACCAGCACGACCTGAGTAGACACAGTGTCCAGCAACACGTCGGACAAGCAGCACGACACTGACCAGCACCACGGTGGAGTCGAGACACACTCGTCGTTGCCCAGCTCCACCGAGCCAGCAGCACGGCGCCAAGCACCGTGAGTCGGCTAGCACGGCATTGACCAGCACAACGGCTCGAGCACGACAGGGTCGAGCACCATAACATTGACCAGCACCACCGAGACTAGCAAGACGGCGACGAGCACCACCGAGTCGAGTAGCACGACGATGACCAGCACAACCGCGTCTAGCACTACCACGCTGACGAGCACTACAGACACAAGCAGCACGACGAGAAGCAGCACGACAAGCACTACCGGCACCAGTAGCACATCATTGAGCAGCTCCTCGGCGTCAAGCAGCACAACGCTGAGCAGCACCACGGTATCTAGCAGCACTGGATCAAGCACCATGTCGTTGACCAGCACCACCGAGACAAGCAGCACGGCGACAAGCACCAGTGAGTCGAGCAGCACGACGCTGACCAGCACAACTGGGTCCAGCACGACAGAGTCGAGCACCATAACATTGACCAGCACCACCGAGACCAGCAAGACGGCCACGAGCACCTCTGAGTCGAGCAGCACGACGTTGACCAGCACAAGCGGCTCGAGCACCACTGAGTCGAGCACCATCACATTGACAAGCACTACTGAGTCGAGCAGCACGACGTTGACCAGCACAACCGCGTCTAGCACCACCACGCTGACGAGCACTACAGACACAAGCAGCACGACGAGAAGCAGCACTACATCGATGACAAGCACCACCGAGACAAGTAGCACAACTGTCTCCAGCAGTACTTCGCTGTCCAGCACCAGCGAGACAAGCAGCGGGACGGAGACCAGTAGCACCACCCCGACCAGCACGACCCTGAGTAGCACCACAGTGTCCAGCACCACGTCAGCGACAAGCAGCACAACACTGACCAGCACCACGGAGTCGAGCACCTCGTCGTTGACCAGCACCACCGAGACAAGCAGCACGGCGACAAGCACCAGTGAGTCGAGCAGCACGACCTTGACGAGCACAACCGGCTCGAGCACGACAATTTCGAGCAGCACGTCGTTGACCAGCACATCCGAGACCAGCTCGACGGCCACGAGCACCACTGAGTCGAGCAGCACGACGTTGACCAGCACAAGCGGCTCGAGCACCACTGAGTCGAGCACCATCACATTGACAAGCACCAGTGAGTCGAGCAGCACGACGTTGACCAGCACAACCGCGTCTAGCACCACCACGCTGACGAGCACTACAGACACAAGCAGCACGACGAGAAGCAGCACTACATCGATGACAAGCACCACCGAGACAAGTAGCACAACTGTCTCCAGCAGTACTTCGCTGTCCAGCACCAGCGAGACAAGCAGCGGGACGGAGACCAGTAGCACCACCCCGACCAGCACGACCCTGAGTAGCACCACAGTGTCCAGCACCACGTCAGCGACAAGCAGCACAACACTGACCAGCACCACGGAGTCGAGCACCTCGTCGTTGACCAGCACCACCGAGACAAGCAGCACGGCGACAAGCACCAGTGAGTCGAGCAGCACGACATTGACCAGCACAACCGGCTCGAGCACGACAGGGTCGAGCACCATAACATTGACCAGCACCACGGAGACTAGCAAGACGGCGACGAGCACCACCGAGTCGAGTAGCACGACGTTGACAAGCACAACTGCGTCTAGCACTACGGCGACAAGCACCAGTGAGTCGAGCAGCACGACATTGACCAGCACAACCGGCTCGAGCACGACAGGGTCGAGCACCATAACATTGACCAGCACCACGGAGACTAGCAAGACGGCGACGAGCACCACCGAGTCGAGTAGCACGACGTTGACAAGCACAACTGCGTCTAGCACTACCACGCTGACGAGCACTACAGACACAAGCAGCACGACGAGAAGCAGCACGACAAGCACTACCGGCACCAGTAGCACAACATTGAGCAGCACCTCGGCGTCAAGCAGCACAACGCTGAGCAGCACCACGGTATCTAGCAGCACTGGATCAAGCACCATGTCGTTGACCAGCACCACCGAGACAAGCAGCACGGCGACAAGCACCAGTGGGTCGAGCAGCACGACGCTGACCAGCACAACTGGGTCCAGCACGACAGAGTCGAGCACCATAACATTGACCAGCACCACCGAGACCAGCAAGACGGCCACGAGCACCTCTGAGTCGAGCAGCACGACGTTGACCAGCACAACCGCGTCTAGCACTACCACGCTGACGAGTACTACAGACACTAGCAGCACGACGAGAAGTAGCACGACAAGTTCTACCGGCACCAGTAGCACAACATTGAGCAGCACCTCTGCGTCAAGCAGCACAACGTTGAGCAGCACCACGGTATCTAGCAGCACTGGATCGAGCACCACGTCGTTGACCAGCTCCACCGAGACTAGCAGGACGGCGACAAGCACCAGCGATTCGAGCAGCACGACGCTCACCAGCACAACCCGCTCGAGCACGACAGTTTCAAGCAGCACGTCATTGACGAGCACCACCGAGACTAGCACGACGGCGACAAGCACCAGCGAGTCGAGCAGCACGACGTTGACAAGTACAACCGCGTCTAGCACCACCACGCTGACGAGCACTACAGACACAAGCAGCACGACGAGAAGCAGCACTACATCGATGACAAGCACCACCGAGACAAGTAGCACAACTGTCTCCAGCAGTACTTCGCTGTCCAGCACCAGCGAGACAAGCAGCGGGACGGAGACCAGTAGCACCACCCCGACCAGCACGACCCTCAGTAGCACCACAGAGTCCAGCACCACGTCAGCGACAAGCAGCACGACCCTGACCAGCACTACGGAGTCGAGCACCACGTCAGGGCATACCACTACCGAGACAAGCAGTACTGCGTCGAGCAGCACGACATTCAGCAGCATCACGGGATCGAGCAGCACCACGTTGACCAGCACCACCGATTCGAGTAGCACGACGTTGACCAGCACAACCGCGTCCAGCACTACCACGCTGACGAGCACTACAGACACAAGCAGCACGACGAGAAGTAGCACGAGAAGCACTACTGGTACCAGTAGCACAACATTGAGCAGCACCTCTGCGTCAAGCAGCACAACGTTGAGCAGCACCACGGTATCTAGCAGCACTGGATCAAGCATCACGTCGGCGACGAGTACTACAATGACAAGCCGCACGTTGACCAGCACCAGTGAGTCGAGCAGCACGACATTGACCAGCACAACTGGCTCCAGCACGACAGGGTCGAGCACCATAACATTGACGAGCACCACCGAGACTAGCAAGACGGCGACGAGCACCACGGAGTCGAGTAGCACGACGATGACCAGTACATCAGCGTCGAGCATTACAGTGTCTAGCAGCACATCGTTGACGAGCACTACTGAGACCAGCCAGACGTCGACAAGCACCAGCGATTCGAGCAGCATGACGTTGTCCAGCTCCACAGAGTCAGACACCAGATCGTTGACGAGCACTACTGGGACGAGCAGCACGTCGTTAAGTAGCACCACGAGGACGAGCAGCGCATCGCTGACCAGCAGTACTGGAACGTCGAGCACGACCCTAAGCAGCACCACGGAGTCGAGCACCACGTCAGTGCATACCACTACCGAGACAAGCAGCAGTGCGACGAGCAGCACGACGTTCAGCAGCATCACGGGATCGAGCAGCACCACGTTGACCAGCACCACCGAGACAAGTAGGACGGCGACAAGCATCAGTGGGTCGAGCAGCGCGACATTGACCAGCACAACTGGCTCCAGCACGACAGGGTCTAGCAGCACAACATTGACCAGCACTACCGAGACTAGCCAGACGTCGACAAGCAGCAGCGATTCGAGCAGCACGACGCTGTCCAGTACAACCGCGTCTAGCACCATCTCGCTGACAAGCACTACAAAGACAAGCAGCACGACGAGAAGTACCACTACGACAATGACAAGCACTACTGAGACAAGTAGCAGAACGATGACCATCAGCAGCACACTGACTGGTACGACCAAGACCAGTACTACGTCAGCAACAAGCAGCACCACCCTTCTCAGCACCACCGACTCTAGCACAACAGTTTCGAGCAGCACATCGTTGACCAGCACCACTGGCACAAGCATGACGGCGACAAGCACTAGCGAGTCGAGCAGCACGACGTTAACCAGCAAGACAGCGTCGAGCAGCACATCATTGACCAGCAGTACCGAGACAAGCAGCAATACGTTCACCAGCAGCACAAGCTTTACCAGCGCGTCGTTAACAAGTACCACGGGAACCAGCACCAGCTCCCTCACGAGCAGTCGCACTATGTCCAGCACGACACTCAGCAGCACGACGCAATCCAGCACCAGCACAAGTGAAACGAGCACAACGACGCTGAGCACTTCCACCGACTCGAGCACGTCGTCGCTCACCAGTACCACCACCAGCTCCATCACCGCCACGCTGACAAGCAGCACTACCTTGACCAGCACGACTGAGACAAGCAGGTCAGGTACCAGCACCGTCTCGTTCACCAGCCATACAGAGACAAGCAGCACGACTCTCAGCAGCACATCTGGCTCAAGTAGTGTGACCCAGACCTCTTCGACAACCCTCACGAGCAGCACCGACACTAGCACAAATTCGTGGACAAGCTCGACGAGCGTAAGCGGCACAATCACCACGACAAGCTTGAGCTCCACGTCAACATCTTCGCTGATCAGCGCAACCGCGACAAGCAGCACATCCCTTTCAAGGCCTTATTTTCGATTTTGTTCGCTTGCTGTTGTCCCACATTCGAAGTGCGGTTGCGCTCCCAAGTGTCTCCGCACGGGGAGTCCATGACAATCTCCTCGTCACGCTTGCTTCGTCGAGGTTTGAAGGCCCCTCGGGTTCTGAGCGCGTTGCAGTGAGACTCTGCTCACTGTGAGGCCATTGGCCCGTCAGAGAAGCACAACCTGAGAAGAAGGGGAGCTGTCAAGGGAGAGAGGGTGAATGAGACTGGGAGCAAGCGCCCCTCCGGCCCGTCACGACTAGAGGTTGCTCGTGAGTGCAGGCCGGCGCCGTTGCAGAACTGGGGCAGACATCACGGCGGGGAGAACAGCTTGGACGGACTCTTACTTGCCCCCCTCTCCTGAGCCTTCCCCTTCTTCCTCTTGGCATCGCTCAGACGTGTGCATTCTTCCTCGGTGAGCACTATCGAGGATCATCCTGGATCATCTCGCGAATCATACAAGCAGGAAGCCGAAGCATGCACAGTGAGTTAACGTCCGAGCGACTGCAAGTCCTTTGACGCTTACACAATAGACATGATATCTCTTCCCTGGCTGCGTCCTGGACGAGTCCCGCCCTCTTCTTGCATTTCACGCTTGTCTATTCGAGGCGCTTGGGTGTCTCAAAACGGCGCTCCCGCTACAGCATTGGAAGCGTTGGCCTCATTTTAGGATCGGTGCTTTGCTCCCGTCATTCCGAGTGGAGGTCTCGCTCAAGCGCGAGTCGCATTTGTGGATCCGAATTCATCCGCGTCATTTTCGCCCCCTCAAAACGGCGCTCCCGCTACAGCATTGGAAGCGTTGGCCTCATTTTAGGATCGGTGCTTTGCTCCCGTCATTCCGAGTGGAGGTCTCGCTCAAGCGCGAGTCGCATTTGTGGATCCGAATTCATCCGCGTCATTTTCGCCCCGCTTCCTTCCTCCGCCTCCAGCCACTCGTCCTCCTCTGCTGTACTGTTTCGTTGCTATTTCCATGGCTCGGACGAAGCTAAAGAAAAGACAGCCATTACCCATTCAAGGCGCCCTAACGTCGGCAAAGGTGAAGAGGCGGGTCGAGGAGTAGGAAAACCATTGCGGGGAAGCACTGAGAAAGAAAGGATGCAGCCGAGACTGGGATGAGAGCACGGCCACGTGCATTTTAGTCGGAGGATGGGGTGCGAGATCGCAGTGGAATGGAGAGCCCCCCACCAAGAAATCGATTTCGGTTTCGTGTTCGTGTCGGGCGTGCGGGCGAGGCGAAGCTGCGAGGAATGATGCCGCCGTGGCTAGGGGCCGTGGAGCCGTTTGACAGTTCCCCCCCTCCCAGAAGCGCGGGGGCCCGGGGTGTCCCGCCGGTGGCGGAGGGGTGCCCCGTCGGTGGTGCGGGGGTGCCCCGCCGGTGGCGCAGGGGTGCCCCGTCGGTGGTGCGGGGTGCCCCGTCCCTGGCGGCGGGTGCCCCGTCGGTGGCGCGGTGGTGAGATCGATAGCGAGATCGATAGTACGATCGATAGCAAGATCGATAGTCATATCGATAATGAGGTCAATCGGGAGATCGATAATGAGTTCTGGAGGGAGGTCGATTGTGATATCGATAGTGAGAGCTGCGCATGTGCGGTTTTGCGGTAGAGCCTGCGTGGTGCTCTGCAGTGCCCAGTGGAGTTGCGATTGCGCGCGAGCGTTTCGAAGGCGCGCGTTCGCCAAGCCCTCATGGCCAGGAGGTCCGTTCCAGCGTGCTTGGTTTCACCGTGGGCGAGTTTGAGGAACCAGTGGCAGCGCTGACGGACCACGAGGAATTGTTTCCGTATTAGCGCATCCGCTGGTTCAGGTTTACACGATTCTTCGCACAGGTCAGCTCGCATACGTTGGCCACGTGTGCTACTTCCGGCCGAAGGTGGGCAAGTTCCTTTGCAGCCTGCCAGTCGCGACGGTTGACATGCCGGCGGTGCACGTCCGCCCGCGGAAACGCAAGGGGACGCCAACAGGCCGTGCGTTTTTCAAAGATGACGCCGCAAGGCTGAAAGAGGCATTCCGCTGGCTGAAGGCGAACAATCTGCATCATGCTGGCATTGATTGGCAAGAGGACGCTGCGGCGGCGTAGTCCGATGGCCGATGGCGACTCTGAAGTGGGAACCACAAGAGAAGCCGAAGATGATGTCTCTCACGCACAGCCTGCGACTCCGACTTGCTTCGCGCAGTGGATGGATCGCGCCAGAGTGGAAGCCGCAGCGGGGGATTTCGGGTACGCCATCGGGAAGCGAGTGCGGGAGGGGGTCCTTGACGAGGAGTCTGTGCATGAGCCAGTCTCTGACAGCTCGGCGCGCTCCGTTGTGTGGACGCGCATCCGGCGCATTGTTGCTGATGGTTTCGACAGGAATGCTCATCGTATGGCCACCGCACTTCCACTGGATGCCCTTGCAGTTGCCTTGGCTGCGGGCGGTGTCCTTGACCTCGGACTGGACTGCGACAGAAATGGATATGGCTATCGCGCTCCGCACACTCGATCCAAGCGATTATCCATAGGATTTGCATGCATTCCGCGCTGAGCTGGATGCAACAATGCGTGAGGAGTACAGCGAAGATCCACAGATAGTTCATGCAGGCGCCACTGTGTTTGTCGATGCGGGGGGCGACTTGGGTCTGCGCGAGGGCGTCGTAGGTGCATTCGCAGCTGCAGAACGCGATGTCAACGGAGGGCCGTCTGGCGAGCCAGCTTTGCCGATGAGGACGCGCCAGGCTCTGCTAGCGTGGCCCCCGGCGCGGCGCCGCTGGCTATCGACATGCAGCAGCCGCTGGGAATGCGAATCAAGTTCCCGAGCGTGGATCCGCCTGAAGTGCTGGGCGGGGCAAGCGCATGCGAACTTTGCCATGGGGTCCGTGGGTGGAGCTCTTTCTGGATCACGAAGCGCTGGATACATGTGAACTGGTCAAGTGGGACCGTCGGTGGAGCTCCATTAAAAAGGCACGAAGCGCTGTACTGGGTGGTGGGGGCGCATGTGAACGATTCCACTGGGGCCTGCGGTGGAGCGACCTATGGGCCACGAAACGCTGTACTGGGTGGGAGAAACGCATGTGGTCGTTGCTATTGGGGCCTTCGGTGGAGCTCCCTACGGGGCCACGAAGCGGTGTACAAGGTGGGTGAGACGCATGTGGACGGTGTCATTGAGACTTCTAGTGGAGCTCGAAGCTCCCTATGGGGCCGCGAAGCGCTGTATTGGGTGGGGGAGGCGCATGTGAAAAAAGGGTCCACTGGGGCCTTCGCTGGCGCTCCTTATGGTGCCACGAAGCGCTGTATTGAGCGTGGGGGACGCATGCGAGGGCAACCATTGGGGACCCCCGTGGAGCTATGGGGCCACGAAGCGCTGCACTGGGTCGGGGCGACGCATGCGAGTGCAGCCATTGGGGCTTTCGGCTCAGCTTCCTATGGCGCCACGAAGCGCTGTACTGGGAAGGGGGAGACGCGCACAAGTGCAACCACTGGGGACTTCGGTGGAGCTCCCTATGAGGCCGCGAAACGCTTTACTGGGCGGGGGGGTATGCCAGCGCAGCCACTGGGGCCTTCGTTCGAGCTCCCTATGGGGCCACGAGACTCTGTGCTGGGTGGGGGAGGCGCGCGCGAGTGCAGCCAGTGGGGCCTTCGGTCGAGCTCACTATGGGGCCACGAAGCGCTGCACTGGGTCGGGAAAGCGCCTGTGAATGCAGCCACTGGGGCTTTTGGTGTTCCCCATGGTGCCACGAAGCGCTGTATTGGGTGTGGGAGACGCGCGCGGGTGCATCCACTGGGGCCTTCGGTGGAGCTCTCCGTGAGGCCGCGAAACGCTGTGCTGGGCTTTGGGGGCGCATGCGAGTGCAGCCACTGGAGCCTTTGGCCGAGCTTCCTATAGGGCCACGAAACGCTGTACAAGGTGGGGGAGGCGCATGCAAGTGCAGCCGCCCGCTGGGGCCTTCGGTGGAGCTTCCTGTGGGGGGGGGGAGGAGGGACGAGCGGAAGGAGGAGGCGGGGGAGGGAGGGACGCGGGGCGCTGTCTCTTCAAAACGTGGACCCACCAGCACAGGACGGTTGGGAAGTAGGTCTCTTGCCGCCGCCTCTCGCAGTGGGAGCCGGCGTCGGCAGCGGGGTTGAGGGCAGTGGCTCCTCCCGTGTAAGCCTTCCGCAGGGGAGAGGTTGACAAGCAGCAGCTGTAGACAGCAGCCATGCGAGCCCCTGGACCCACACACACAAACACAAACACACACACACACACACACACACACACACACACACACACACACACGCGCGCAGCTTACTCGTTGGCGGTCGCGGCCTCGCGCGCAGCGTGGAGACGGAGTAACGTCGCAGCTTGTGCGCACGCGGCCTTGCCTTCAGGAGAGATCGCTGAGAATCCCGTTCATGCCCGCAGCAGCAAATCATCTGGGCGTGCATGGCAGGGGATTGGCACGCCGCCCAACGCTGGACGCACAAGACACGCACTAAAACTCGAAATCACCATGTTCTCACTGCTGAGGGAGTGTCAGGATCTGGACATAATACCCCGAACCTGGGAGATATGCCTCGACAGGCGGGTCAAGAGTCAAGACGATGGCGCCCCTTCACTGCCTTGAACCTGCTTTCCTGTATGTCGTGGAAGCTCTTGGCGGTACTCTCCTCGCAAGAATCCCAGTAGGCGATGACCATGTCATTAACCACCGTACATCGGCCGGATGTGCGAGCTCCGCTTCACAATGGTGTCGGTAACTTGTTCCAGAAAACAGCTTGTCTTCATAGACTGCTGACTGTGCGGGTATGCATGTGTCACAGGTGTGTAGAGCATTCAGCGTTGAGTCCATCTGGGGTGCCATTTTCTGATAGGCCTCCCCCTTCTCCGATTTCGGATCCGCCGTACTTTTGCGGACCTACAATGGTATCGGAAGTGCACGCCAGGAGATGCGCACACGTAAGGCGGATAGTTTAGCACAAGCATGGCGGACACAGCGACGGCAAGGTGGGACGGACATCGACATCAAATGCGCTTGAGCAGTAGGGCGGGAATTTCTGCCCTACCTACGACATCGCCAAAAGAACGGCGGATCCGAAGTCAGGGTGGTCTCCGAAGAGGCCCTAGCGGCTCTGCAGTGGTACTCGCCTTCCATGTCGCCACTGATGGGTGGGAGGGGTAGGACATCAGAAACATGGCCCGAGCGCACCTAGCTTGCCTCATTTACCTCATCCCCCCCTCTCATATCATCAACCTAGGCCTGCCACGGTGTTGCCGCCCGCTGCTGCCTTCGCGTACCTTTTCTGCAGCGACTTCGCGTCACACCAGGCAATCATTGGGCCTGGCGTGTTTGGGGGCCCCATCGCTGGCGTACATCCCACATACGAGGCTCAGAGTGAGGGATTCTTCTTCCAGCAGTGCTTTCGCCAAGGAGGCCCGTGCTGGGTTTTGGGGGTCGCCTGTGGCTTGACGCTGGTCGCCAGGAGCCTCCTTTACCGAGGACCAGTCACGGGTAATGTGTTGTTCCGCATGTGTTCCAGATTTTGCTCCCTGCGTTTTGTACTTATCCGTGTTGTCGTGTCCAGAAACTGTCGGGCATAGGGCCCCGTTGGGCGACGCGCGGTGGAGATGGGCGTGCCACCGCAGACGCCCCCAACCGCCGCGCGCACAGAGGTCCGCGCAGGGCCCTCCGCCGACCTCCGACGTGCGCCAAGCCTGCCGCACGCTCCCCTGAGACGCCCTGCGCCACAGGGTTGCGGTGCGCACCGACGGCTCCCCCAGGGAGCCCTTGCTGGCCTCAACAGGCCCCCGAGTGGTCCCAGCTGGCCCCAAGAGGCTCCCCGAGTAGTACACATTGTTCATTTTTAATTATTCGGAATCTCTTTGATTTCTTGGGGGGCCAATATCCTTTTTCTAATTGTTCTATCCTGAGCCTCTTCCTGGCCACTAAGGGGCCAGGAACAATCAGAAACGAGCACGATTAGAAACGAGCACGGTTAGAAATGAACGACGTGTGGTCAGGAGCAGTCTCAGCACCATGGCGCCGCCTCTGGCGGCGCCCACTGGGCGCCAGGGTTGAGGTGCTGAGACTGGCCCGGGCTTCCCGGGGGGCCTGCGGAGGCCAGCCGGATTGCCTGGGGGTGGGGCTATCTTTGCGCAGCCCGGAGCTTTTCCACTTCTGTGCCCGTCTGTCTCCGCGGGGCTCCACCTGGTACTTGGTTCGTCGCCTGCTGCGCGCGCGCGGCCAAAGAGCCCTCTGCAGCACAACGGCCACGAGCACCTCAGCCTCGAGCACGCGGCCTTGCGCTCGGCCGCAGCAGGAGGAACAGGTAGCAGCAGCAGCAGCCGTCCTGTGACAGTAATGCTGGTGTAAGCCAGACCATTTCGTGTCGTGGAAAAAATCTCAAGACGGATATGTGTGTATGTGTGTATGGGTGTGTTCAGCTATTTTCGGCCTTTGGGGGCCTTCGCCGGGCCCCAGGACCGTCAAGCTAGTCCCAGGAAATGGGTTAAGACCTCTTGAGGTCGACGTTGTTAGACAACCACACAGTCGTGGGAGGAAACTTGCGTACGCGCAGGTTTTCGTTGAACAGGGCGTTCTCGAGATGCAGGGCTCGGGGAGCAGTGGGCTTGGGTGCAGTTGGCCTCAGGGGGGAGGGGGGGGGAGCGATGCGTCGCCATGGAGCATATGGGCTCTGAACACTCATATAATAGGAGATCTAGGCCTAAGGTTTCTTCGCCGCCACGAGCCCTGGGACGGTCAAGAAACAGTCCTGTCTGGAGGCCGAACGCGACCAAAAATCTCGCATTGCATGTTTTACGTCAAGGTGGTGTTTTTTTCGGTCATGCCTCTGGCAGCCGTTCGGGATCACTCGGGCCCCTCCCGCGAACGCTCCCGGCTCTTCGTGGTTGTTGGGTTGTTGAAAAGTCCCAGAGGTTGGCACGCCTCCAGTAGCCGACGCACATTGCAGAGGCGACGATATGGGCGAATAGCCCAGGGAGAGCAATACGTGTATCCAGGGGCGCCGTGCATTGCCCGCCCCTGGGTTATTCGCCCTTGTTGTCGCCGCCGAACATCGTGATCTTCCTCTCGGAGCCGTGGCGTTCTTCCTCGGCGCCAGGAGGCCTCCTGTGGCAGCGTCAGGGGGGGGGGCAGGCTCAGGGGTGGACGCGTCGGCCCCACATCGCCCACTGGTCGCCGGTAGGGGCCCTGGTAGCCCAACACGCTCAGGATGGAGGGCTTTCCCGAAGGGCTCAGGCGACCCGTCCTCCTCCTCCTCCTCCTCCTCCTCCTCCTCCTCCTCCTCTCCGTAGCCATTTTGGCTCAAGCCATTTTGGCTCAAGCCGTTCTGGCCCAGGTGATTTGGGCTTGCTAGCGTATACTTCAGAACGGCACACTGCGCTAGCGGGTCAAGTGGCTCGTTCAGACTGTAGCATCGTTCGCGGCGTCTCCCATGGGACCAAAGCAGCATGAGATCATCGGTGCGAAATGTCTCTCGTGTGGTGCTGCGAAGTGCAACAAACCGTGGTACAAATGGTGTGCGAATTGTTGGGCCCCCATTCCGCACGTTTCCCCTGGCGCTCCTCGCGATCCTGGGGGTGTGTGGCAAAGTGGCCCAGCAGTTCCAGGCCCAAAAGGTTCTCACAAAGGTCAAGGACCCAAAGGTGGTGGACGTGGCAAAGGCGGGTTTGGGAGTGGCGGAGGCGGCGGCGTCGGGGGAGGACCTTGTGGTCGTGGAGGCGCTTTGGCTCATCCTGCGGACCCGTCGTCCCTCCTCGCCCAGCTTCAGCTGCTCATGGGTCAGCTCAAGGACGATTTCCCAGAGCGTGCAGCAGTGGCCAGCTCCATCGCGGCGTCGGCTTCAGCCATCCGTTCCCAGCAGTCTGAAGCTCGTCCCCTTCGGCAGCAGGCATCTGAGGCTCAGCAGGCTCTTGACAAGAATGTTCGCGCCCTCAACTCGCTCGACTCCCAGATCGCAGACACCGAGTCGCGCATGGCGGAGCTCAAGGAGAAGAGGGCGGAGACCGCAACCCAGCAGGTACAGCTCAAGGCCAGGTACCTGGAGCTGGCGGCCAAGGTGGCCGACCTCCCGCCCCCGCCGCAGGCGGAGCTCCAGGGGCATTTGTCCAATTTCGACAGCGTGCTGGAGTCTGGCGACCTGGCCGCAATTCGTGAGGGCTGGGCCAAACTCAAGACCAGCTGCCAATCCGTTGCCCAGAAGGAAGCCGCAGGCAGTGGAGCTGCTCCTGCTGCTTCTGACAGTGGTGGGGGGACGGGTGGTGAGGCGGGGGTGGAGACGGGTGTACCCACTCACTCTGATGAAGCAATGCCTCAGGTCGAGGCTGCGGACTCAGAAGCTTTCCAGAAATTTTTACATGAATGGCAGCAGGCACAGTCGGAGGAAGTCTCGAGTGAGTCGAGGCAGCGCGTCTCGACTTTCATCGAGGCAGCGGCCAAGCGTGCCAAGACGACGGCCGCCACTCCTACCGAGGCTCCTGCTCCTCGGACTCCTTCCTAGCCCACCTCAGCCGGTGTCGGCTGGCTCGTCTCCCCTCCTTAGTCAGGATGTGGCCGCGGGAGTGCTTGTAGAAGGCTCTCTCCAGCCCCCTCCTCCGCCTGATTTGGATAATTTCGGGCTCTGTGTGCAGACTTGCAATGTTTCAGGATGGCAGTCACTCAAGAATAAGTGGCTGCCAATGACCACGGCACACGTTTTGTTAGTCCAAGAACATCACTTATGCTCAGATGAAGACATCTCCAAGGCGTCCGAATGGCTCTTTCGTCATGGGTGGAAGTCGTGTTGGGCGGCGGCCGCATGTGGGGAGGGCACTGGGTCTTCAGGAGGTGTTGCAGTTTTGGCTAGATCGTATCTCGGGCTTCACACGTTGTCGTCGGGCTTCGTACTGTCCCCTCATCGTGCTGGAGCTTGTGTTATAGATATTCCAGGAGGATTTCAGGTCCTTGTCGGATCGATCTACCTCCACGACGTCGAAGGTCTTTCTGAGCGCAACGTGGAGATCTTGTCGCGTCTCGGAGCTGGACTTTCACATTCTGATCTCCCTGTCGTTGCGGGAGGTGATTTCAACATGACTCCAGGTGAGTTTCAGAAGTCGCCTTTCGTTTCGGAGTTCAAAGGCCAGATGATCACCCCAACAGACGGAGGCTACACGCTCCGCAGCACGGGGGGCCTCAAAGTATCTGATTTCTTTGTCGTCTCGGCAGGCATCGCGAAGGTTATCAGGCAGGTGAGTGTCAACTACAATTCCCCTCTCACCCCCCACTCCCCTGTGGATCTGGAGCTTTTCCCTTCGCCTGCTCAACTCAACGTTTTGGTTTTTCGGAAACCTCCCCCCCTTCCCCCCCAAAGGGCCATAGGGCCCACTCGGGAACCCCCATCTTGGGACCCTGTTCTCGACGTGCTGGAGGCGGCTCTGGTAGCTGCCAGGGCGGGGAGGGGGCGGAAACTCAAAGGCTGCTCAATCTCACCTACAAGTGGTGGGCCAACCTTGCGGAAGTGGAGGTGGCCAACGCCACTCAATCGGTGCTTCCGGTTTGGGGTGCGAGAGGCAAGGGTCCTCAGCTTATGAGGAAGCCTGTTTTCTCGAAGGACAAGGAACCTCTTAGGCACCCCTTTCTGTACTCCGTCAGGTGGCTGTATAATCGCATCTTGGACTGCAAGGTGTACGTTTCGTCTAATTCCCAAAAGGCCAAGAGTGGTGGAGTTGATTTTGCGAGGGCCCTGAGGTCCTACATTTTTCACCCTCCCCCTTTCGTGGTCGTGAATCTGGGTGCCCATAAGGAGCTGCTTATCACCTTGCAGTCCATGATCACCCGTGCTGATTTGGACTCGAGCGGAGAGCTCGAGCAGGACGTTCTCGATCTGTCTCTCTCGTTCTCCGACGTGGTCGCGCAGGCAGAAGCCAGCGCTAGGGACCGCAGTTTAGCTTCCTGGCGTAGTTGGCTGAGAGAGAACATCGATCAGGGGGCCAAGCGAGCTCACATGGTCACTTCTGAACCCAAGCCCTGGAAACCTACTTCCACTCTCTCGTCCAACGGCTGTGTGGTCAGTGACCCCAGGTCCCTTCTCGAGGCTGAACGCAACAAGTTAATTCATTTATGGCGCGCTTTTGACTCCCCGCGGGAGTTGGGACCTATTGCCGATTTCTTTCCTGCTCCTGAGCTCCCCCCTTTGGACCCCAACGAGTTGGTCCGCATTTCGAGGAGCTACAAGATGTATTCGGCGGTGGGCGTGGACGGTTTCCACATGAAACATTTCAGTATGATTTCCCTTCCTGGGGTCACGGCGCTGTGTAGGATCCTGCAGGTCATGGAAATCTCCAGCATGTTGCCATTCCAGCTTGATGCCACAGTGTTGGCGCTCCTGGGTAAACCTACTGGAGGGTTCCGCCCTATCGGGATTTTCATGGGTCCTTACCGCATCTGGGGGAAAGCGCGGCGGTGCCTTGCCGAGAGCTGGGAGGGGTCGCACGCTCGTCCCTACTTTGCGGCGGGCAAGTACCAGGGGGCCTCAGACGTTGTATGGCGGCAAAGCGTCCGCAGCGAGAGTGGGGCAACCCACTCCTTACATGCGGCTACCCTCCTGCAGGACATGTTTAAATACTACGAGCTCATTGATCTCGAGCGACTCCTCGGTCGTTGTATAAGGCTGGGTTTCCCTATTGCCATGGCCAAGTTGGCTGTGCGGGCCTACAGGGCCCCGAGGTTTCTTTCCTTGGGTGGCTGCATCGACGGTCCGTGGTACGCTTCTTCTGGAATCATAGCGGGGTGTTCGTTGGCCACGACCCTGATCAGGGTTAACGCGGTGGAGTCGCTCGATACTGTTAGGTTACGGCAGGGTGCTCAACTGGCGCTCTACATCGACGATTCTGGCCTCAGTGCTGTCGGCTGTTTCAATTTTGTTGTGGACGCCATCACGGAAGGCGCGCCCCAGCTCCACGCTGCCATCGTTGATGGCATTGGTGCGCAGGTGGCGGCTGACAAATCCAGCCTGATTTGTTCCTCGGCCAAGCTTGGCAGGGCCATTCAGGCCAAACTGGGAGTTGAGCTCACGGGTCCCATTACTTCCAGTGCTGTTAACCTTGGGATGGACGACACGGTGGGGAAGAGTTCTCGGACCCAGGGTCGTAACAAAAAGCTTGTGATTAGGAGACGTCTTTTCATCAAACGCACTGGCCGAGTGGCTAAACTTCGTAAGACCCTTGGTTCCAGGAGAACTTTGCGAGTTTTCACTGCAGGACCGCTCCCTGGCTTACTGTATGGCAGCGAGGTTAGAGGGG